TTTAGGGTTCAGGGTTAGTTGGGACTAAAGGAATACAGTGTATAGATGTTCTATGGGGGTTATTCCCTTGTTATGAATCAGTAAAGAGACCGGTTTGAGGGTTAAGGGTCTAATTCGGTCTAGAGTTTAGTGTCTAGTTGGGTTTGTGTGATAGGGCTTCGGGCGCATCCTCGGAATCGATGTCCTTCTCGCTGTTTTGGGAGGGTGGCGGCGCTGGCGCGTGGAGCGTCGTCCGAACTCTTACACCGCTTCACGTACACCAGTTCGGCATCGACGGCCATCTCGCGAGTGCTGGGGCATGGAGCGTCCAGAGAATTCTCCTTGGAGCCGACGACCCTCTCGCTGTGTTCGGCGGGTGGCAGCGCTGGCGTTTCGGGATCTCGTGTTTCGGGATCATGGAGCTTGGCAAGCCCTTATCCCCTAACGAAACACCAAACCTCATTCCTAATCAGCATGTAGCATGGAGGTTTTCAAGTCGTTGGATTTTCACGGGGTAGCTACACGGAGGGAGACTCCACACAATGTAGAAGCCCGAGTTCTTACCAAGATCATTCCCCAGCAGTTAGTTCAAGGCTCAGGGTTTAGGATTTTGAGTTTGGGGTTGGTGTCTTAGGCTCAGTTTGGGGATTTTGGGACGCGAAAGTAGAACACTGCCAAGGACTTTTGGGACTAAGGGTGGTGTAGGATTTCTCTCCATCAACACTGGTATAAGGTACCTCAAGGCCCTGATCAGTTGTTAAGGTTCCTATACTAGGGCAAAGGCCGCGTTTCGGATTGGCTTCGGTGTAGAGAGCTTTAACACCTTAAGACCTCAACCTTAAACCTTCAACCTTCAACCCTGAGCCCTCATCCCTAAACCTCAGTCTGCAACCCCAAACTCTAAACCCAAAACCTTAAACCATAGATGTAGGATTTGAAGTCCGACATGCAAGCCTAGAGGTTCAGGAGACAAGGCTCCTGTATAGGCATAGCTCCTCAAGCATAACCAAGTTAAGATAGGCACGGAAATTATTGGGTTGCTGTTAAGGAATTTAAACTAAGTTACCATAATATGGGGTACGGTATATACTACATATACGAATATCCTTCTTATGATAACTAAGTTCCTCAACAGCAACCCAGATCAGGTGATGACAGGGGCGGCAAGGGCTTTTTCAGGGTTTAGATTTCAGGGGTTTGGGTTTGCAGCGGCTCAGGGCTTAGCCCTAAACCCTGAACTTTGGGATTTGGGGTCTTCCGGAGACGTTTAGTGCTTGAGGGCTTAGGTCATCCCCCTACAGAAATAGCCGCTAAATACGGAGTTAATAGGGCCGTAATCTGCCTACAATAGTGCCTTGTGGTACGCATAACTGGGTGGGGGAGTGACCCATTTGAAGGCTTTAGAGTTTCAACTCCCGGAATCTAAGCAACGCAGCTGCACTCGATCCTTTCAATGTGACTTACGATTCTTTAGCAGCGCGGCGGCTTTCCCGAAGCTTTGACATGAAACCCCTTAAAACTTGTCAAGACTCCTGGGAAATAGGGTTAGGGATTTAGGGATTGAGGGATTTAGGGTGTCAGGTTTCGGTTTAGGGTTTTAGGGTTTGGGGTTTTAGGGTTTATGGTTTAGGGTTCTAGAGTTTAGGGTCGAGGGTTCAGGAGATCTGGAAAGGAGTCCTTCTTCATTCCCCAGAAGGAGCCTTGTGATACAGCATGGTAGCCCCAAGAACCCCTTCCTCCATTCCCAACTAATCGGCAAGCCGGAAGCCCCAAACCTTGACACCTCAACCTTAAATGCTTAACCCTTAAATCCTAAACACTTAAAGCTATACGTCTAAAGCCTAAAACACCTAAGCCCTTAACCCTAAACCCCTAAACCTTAAAAAATACCTAAACCCTTAACCTTAAACCCTAAACGCTTAAACCCCAAACCCTAAACACCTAAACCCTAAATGCCCAGATGCGAATTCTGCAAAACAGGGGTTTTTGGTTTACTGTAGACCCACGATTAATACGGGCCTTAATATTAGGATCCTCATTATAATCCTGGTTAAGGGTAGCGGGTTTATTAACTAGGGGTCCGGGTTAGGGTGCTCCAGGAACATTCGGCTTTCAGGAGTATGAGAGGACTATGGGAGTCAGTGATAGGCACATTGTATACGGGTGTGAATCTCCCGCACAACAAAATCCCCTATAAAGAGGACAGTAGGCTTCGTGCGGCCGGCGAAAATCACGCTGCAACTGTAAGTTGGGTAAAGCTAAGCTCTCAACCCTAAGCTTGCTGGTGGTTAGTAGGAAACTCGGGAATACTGAATCGGGGTTACGTTCCCATATCTGCTACTAACCACCATCACCAGTAAGTATATTCTTAACCCTAAACTTCTTGACGTCTGCAGCGCACGATCGACGAAGCCGGTGTGAATTACCTCAAGGGAGCAAAGGCCGGTGTGGGGCGGCTTTGGCTTCAGGATTTCGGGTTGCTTGTTGGACCCTAAAGCCTAAACCCTAAACCTGTAGAGAAAGGTTACAAGTCCCGTAAACCGGTTCAGAGCCAGAGTTATGGCCATGTTATTCCATGTAAAGGGTTTAGGGTTTAGGGTCTAGAAAGCTACCCATAAACTTTCAGGAGCTGCTTCAGGACCTGGTTTTCCTCACGGATTTTATCGGTTCGGGCTCGTTGGGATCACGATCTAAAGAGGTTCTTGTCTGCAAACCTTAGCAGCTGGCAAAAATTATCATTTTTGCCCGGGTGGGGGGGTTCTTGGTTTCAGGAGTGTGTGGCCAGTCCGCAGTTTTGTAGTTTCCTTTCCCTTAATTGGAGGGTCAGGGATAGTTAGTGTCACTATATGTGCTATAAGGCTTATTAACCCACTTACTACGTCCCCCTTACCTTCCAAGTACCTAAACAAGTCGATGTTTGTACTAGCTTAGAGGTCCATAGGTAGTTATGAACGGAGTTGTTGTTAGGATAGGGGACTTCTACCCCGGATGCCCCAAGACCCCAGCAATAATTATACGTGAGCTTTCAAGTAGGCCATAAGCTCCAAGTATCCAAGTCTGAAGCCTGAACTTGTGAGCTCCCGAACATTCCCAAGCTCTAAATCCAAGGCTGCGCTCTGTGGTTGAAGGGAGTTAAAGTTGAAGGGTTTTCAGGCTTTTCAGCTTGGTTGGGGATGCGGCTGATGATGTCCAGTCTAAGCACTGAAGCAGTCAACCAGGTAGTATCCTGTTGTTTGGGTACTGCTGCCAACCAGAAATAGTAAATGAGTGCTTTTTTCATTACAACTAGTAATTAACTCATAGCAATAAAAGCAACAACAGTAATAATAGTGAGAACATCGTATATCATAAACATTACCCAACTGTTTCTGATTGGGGGCAATGACCAACCTATTAGTTCTTGTGGTTGCTCCTATAGATAACAGCCGTGTTTCGTACTGTACCCATGTAACGATTGTGTTGCTGGGGTTCCTATGGATATCAGCGTTGAATTCTAGGTGTTACTTCAGAATGAGGGGCCTTAAAGCCCGAAATCCTAACGCCTTAACACCCTAGAACCCTAGAACACCAGTAGCCCAGGGTAGAGTTTAGGTCAGGTCCTCGAAGTCTTATCTCTGCTCAAGAGCCCTAAGCTGTGAACCCCACCTAAACCCTAAACCTTAAACCCCAAACCCCAAACCCCAAACCCTAAACCCTAAACCCTAAACCCAAAACCCTAAACCCTAAGACATGAAAGCTGCAATGTTCAAGCCCAGAAGGCCGCTAAGGTCGTGACGCAAACCACATGAAACCATAGATTCCAGGCCTCTTTCTTAGGACCCAAGCGCTGGTGCTGAATGTCAGCCCAGGCCCTGAAGGGATCTCAAGACTAGATACGTTAGGCTGATGTTGGGGACTTTGCTGGAGCTATGTCAGTTTTGTCAAGATATACATGGTTCATTTAAGGCGAGCCGTAATCCCCAAACCCTCCCTAGATCTGGGTCGCTACGCACTAAACCCTGAACCCTAAATCCTAAACCCTGAACCCTTAATCCTAAGCCCTAAAC